CTCTCCAGTCTTCCCTCAACTTAATCAAATAAAACATAAGGCTTTTCTTGCTCTCCCAAAAGTTGCATCTGTAAAACAGGGATGATAATACTAATACTTACCAAGCAGAGTTGTTTTGAGGAAGAAATGAGAAAATGGAAATATCTTATTACAGACACTGGCACTTAGTAAGGTATTCAATCAATGTTAACTGCTATTAACATTATGATCAGCTCATAAAGAAAATAAATGGAGGACCTCAAAACCCCTGACTTGGGGCATATTAAAAGAATGTTCGCTTACTTTGCAAAAGAGAAAGTTTCTATTGTTTTTTCCAAAAGATTGGAAGGGATAAAGTACTCTTCTGTGTTCTGTCACGTATTATTACCTTATCTAGTATCTATGCATTTATTATCCATCATTATCTGTCTTCATCTTTTATCTATTGTCTATTATTACCTATTTTCCTATTTATTATGCAAGAATAAATTTCTGTCCTATAACTATTTGATTACCCATAGCCAGTTAACAAGAGTCAAAGACAGTATCATCAGGATAACAAAGGAGAGATATTGAGGAGGTAGCCAGCAACTACCTATGAAGCTGCCAATATTTGATGATTTTTGACCTAAGTAAGTGGCAATTTCAAGACTCAACCTAATAGACTCTGAATCCAGACCTATCCAAACTAAGAATTAAAAACCAGAGAGACAATGTATCTTCTACTGTTCTCACCTACTTCCAAAACATCTGAAACAAACAGCAGAAAACCAACAGTAGAATAGGAAACAGTGATTCACCACAGTAGTTCAAACTTTGGAAAATACAATTTAATTTAGCACAATCTCTGTTTATTGTATTTTTCATTTTCAAAAGCCATTTTTTAAATTTTGTTCACGTAGCCAACATATAGTACATCATTAGTTTTTTATGTAGTATTCAATGATTCATTAGTTGTGTGTAACACCCAGCACTCATCATAACATGTGCCATTTTTTTTTAAGATTTTATTTATTTATTTGACAGACAGAGATCACAAGTAGGCAGAGAGGCAGGCAGAGAGAAGAGGAGGCAGCCTCCCCGCCGAGAAGAGAGCCCGATGCGGGGCTCGATCCCAGGACCCTGGGATCATGACCTGAGCCGAAGGCAGAGGCTTTAACCCCCTGAGCCATCCAGGTGCCCCAACATGTACCATTTTAAATATAATAAATGTCATTTTCTCAATCTAAAATATAAGTAAACATCAAATGATATATATTTTTTTAATTATGGGTATTTCTAGCATGAAAGCCCATTGTCTTTTAATGGGACAAAGGTATTTTAAAAATTTACGGTAGATCACAGGCACCTGGGTGGCACAGTCAGGTAAGCCTCCAACTCTTGGTTTTGGCTCAGGGTCTTGGGATCAAGCCCCGGGGTTGGCTCCCTGTTCAGCACAGAGTCTGCTTAAGACTCTCTCTTCCTCTGCTCCTCCCTCCAGCTCACTCTCTCTCTCTCCAATAAATAAATCTTAACAACAACAACAAATTATGGTAGATCCACCTTCATTTTTAGAGGACAAGATTTTTTTTTTTTTAAGATTTTATTTATTTGACAGACAGAGATCACACATAGGCAGAGGCAGGCAGAAAGAGAGAGGAGGAAGCAGGCTCCCCACTGAGCAGAGAGCCCGATGCGGGGCTTGATCCCAGGACCCTGGGATCATGACCTGAGCCAAAGGCAGAAGCTTTAACCCACTGAGCCACCCAGGCGCCCCCAAGATTATTTTTAATAAAATTTGGTACTGATTTTGACCATAATTTTTTTTTAATATTTTATTTATTTCTTTGACAGAGACGGATCACAAATAGGCAGAGAGGCAGGCAGAGAGAGAGGAGGAAGCAGGCTCCCTGCCGAGCAGAGAGCCCGATGTGGGGCTCGATCCCTGGACCCTGAGATCATGACCTGAGCCGAAGGCAGAGGCTTTAACCCACTGAGCCACCCAGGCGCCCCCATAATTTTTATTATGTGTTAAATAGCTCTAATTTTGAAGAGTATTTTTTTTAATTTTTTTTTCAAAGATTTTATGTATTTATTTGACAGACAGAGATCACAAGTAGGCAGAGAGGCAGGCAGAGAGAGAGAGAGAGAGAGAGAGAGAAAGCAGGCTCCCTGCTAAGCAGAGAGCGCGATGCGGGGCTCGATCCCAGGACTCTGGGATCACAACCTGAGCTGAAGGCAGAGGCTTTAACCCACTGAGCCACCCAGGCACCCCTTGAAGAGTATTTTTTATAACATAATTTTATACCTTCCTTCTTGCTGCTTTCTGCTTCCTCAATTGGTCACCTAGCTAACAGAGTTCTATTTGAAACATGGCTTCCTCATCAAAAGGGAGAAGTCAACAGGCTTCTTTAAAGATTTTATTGTATTTTTAATTTTTTTATTTGACAGAGAGAGATTTCACAAGTAGGTGGAGAGGGAAGCAGAGAGAGAGAGAGAGGAGGAAGCAGGCTCCCTGCCGAGCAGAGAGCCCGATGTGGGGCTCAATCCCAGGACCCTGAGATCATGACCTGAGCCGAAGGCAGAGGCTTTAACCCACTGAGCCACCCAGGCGCCCCCAACAGGCTTCTTAATGCCGTCTTGGAAGTTGGGATTATGATACTTCTGCAGACCTCTTTTTTTCAGACAGGCTGAGCAGCCATCCATTATAGTGTGTACGTGTTCTCCCAGGACGGACTAACCTCCAGCATACCAATAAAACCATGACAGGGGTGCCTGGGTGGCTCAGTGGGTTAAGCCTCTGCCTTCAGCTCAGGTCATGATCCCAGGGTCCTGGGATCGAGCCCCGCATCCGGCTCTGTGCTCAGCAGGGCGCCTCCTTCCTCCTCTCTCTCTCTCCGCCTGCCTCTCTACTTGTGATCTCTCTCTGTCAAATAAATAAATAAAATCTTAAAAAATAAAACCATGACATGCCCTCCAACACACAATTACATTTCGCTGAGGTTTTCAGGTGTGACATCTTTAAGAGAATTTCATATGCAAAAGTTTCACGAATCACGCACTCTGGCAAATTACTGGGACACTAGTCTCAGCTGGATCTCTTTGGGAAAACAAGCTGGATATTAACATGAGGGTTTTTGAAAGGCTCCCTATGGCACCTTTGCTGAAAAGATATTAAACCAAACAGCTGCTGATATGGAAACCGGCTGTTTGAACTGTAACTCGGTTAGATATGTTAATAGGGGAAGAGTATGATGTCTGACGAACGTGACGCAGGAAATGACTAAACAGATCATGCTTATTACTTTGCAGTATTCCTGAGGCTGGGGAGGTGGTAAGGGTGTTATCGTGTGGCACTAAACAGTAACCCAGGGCAGCGACACTTGAAAGGGACCATTTCTTTGTCCTTTCTAGAGTTTCTGGCATTATAAATATTAACTCGTCCAAGATCCTGCTTCATAGCAATCACTGGTGGGACAAATGAAACATTTTGCAACATCTTTTAAAAAAACAATCCTATCAGTGTTGCAGAGCTAGTTTTATTATCCTGCTTTCTAAAAAAGCAGTGAGGCCTCAGTAGCTCTGGCAGAATTTCCATAAAGGTGATGGAATCTGGCCCTTGAATGATGCAAAAAGATGCATGCATGGATTTTGCAAATTCATGCTTCCACATACATAAATGATGGATTGAACCCAGGTTTTTAACTGTTTGGATTTTAAAAATAAATACAGATACCTCAGTATGGAATTTCATTTAACAGTATCAAAAGTTGGGGCGCCTGGGTGGCTCAGTCAGTTAAGTGTCTGCCTTTTGCTCAGGTCATGTTCCCAGGGTCCTGGGAGAGAGCCCTGTGTTAGGCTCCCTGCTCAACAGGGAGACTTTTTCTTCCTTCTCCCTCTGCCACTCCCCCTGCTTGTTCTCTCTCTCTCTCAGATAAGTAGGTAAAATCTTAAAACAAAAAACAAAAAACAAAAAACAAAAAAAAAAGAGAAGTTAAGCATATAAAAATGTACTAGGGCTCTGTGCACCATTGATCTTTCATAATATTAGAAAAATGGAAGAAAGTATATTCCCTTACAAATACTCTCATTTTTTAGAAAGATTTTATGTATGTATTAGAGAGCACAAGCAGGGATAGGGGAGTGGCGGGGAAGAGGGAGAAGCAGACTCTCCACTGAGTAGGGAGCCCAACTCAAGGTTCCATCCGAGGACCCTGAGATCGTTAAGATCATGACCCGAGCCAAAGGCAGATGCTTAACTGACTGAGCTGCCCAGGTGCCCCACAATTACTGTCATTTTTTAACCAGTAGAAGAATCATCAGTTATGCAAAAATGTCTGTAAGTACAAAATAAGTAATTTCCAGCATAACCCAAGACCATTGATGATAAATGGAAGAAATATTTACTAAGCCAGGGTCAGGCAAACTTGGCCCTAGGGCCAATCCATCCCCCAGCTGACCTGGGAGCTAAGGGTGTTTTTTATGTTTTTAAAGGGTTGTAATAAAGCAAAGAAGAATCATCAGTGACTGTTCATAGCTGGGAACGTCTAAAATATTTCCTAATTAATCTTTTGCAGAAGAAGTTTGCTCACCCTTGTAGTAAGCAGTTGCAAACTCTGTTTTGGACCTGCGTTTTCCATCTGAGACCGTGGGGAAGATGAATAAAGCCTTCCGTGCCTGTAAGTAGTTTCTGCACTCCAGGGGCACAGGGCTAGTCAATAACTTAGACTGTGAAAGATGATGGCGTCAGATAAGGACTTAAAAGAAATAGGCCCCAGGGTTGGTGGGGAAGTAGGGAGTGGCCTGTTGGGGGGAGGCGGGTGATTCTTAAAATGAACCTTGAAGGTTCTTGGGGGGATACAGGAAGGTAGAATGAAGAGGGGATTGGAAAGACCAGAAGGCAGAGTGATTCACTCTCAGAAGCACTTGGGTGGCTGATGGTGGCCTACCAGACTGGAACGTGAGGTTGGGGTTGCGTGACAGAGGTCATGATCGGGAGCTTGTATGGAATCCAGAGATTCGTTCTCTTAGAGACTGAAAGGACAATGCATGCTTTTACTTTGGTGTCTGGTATTACTGTATTCTCGTGCTGTCACAGGGAAGTGTTTTATTATAATCGGTGAAAAGGGAGGGGGATAGGCCTTCTTGGGCCATGCATCTAGTAAATGAATAGCTTTTGGCTGTAGGTCAATGAATAGCATGAGTATACGCAGTTACGAAGTCACCATTAACAAATAAAGCTGGTAGAGTTTCAATGTACCCATCGGAATTTTTGAAAGCCTATTTTCCAGGCAGTTCAAACAGAGGTGAGGCAGCTCAGGTTGGCGGGGCTGCCGGGAACACCCAGTTCTGAGTTTGCCCCTGACTCAGTGCATGACCTTCGGCAAACCACTCAACTTCTCACTATCTCGGCTTCCTTGGCAATAAAATGGGGATAACAGACCTTAGCCACCTTACAAGAGTGTGACGAAGAGTAATAAATGTCTGCAAAACGCTTTCAAGATAAGTGCTCCTGAAAACTGGGGGTTGGGGGGGGCAGGAGAAGTTCTCTTCCAAGAGTTTAGAGGAAAAATGAGATTTTCAAAATTAAAGTAGGACACTTCAGCTTCTGAGAGCCAAGAGCTTTGTAAAAACAGAAAGGATTGTGGATGATACAGAACCTACAGATTGCTAAAGGTACCTGTAAACTACCAGTAGAATTCTGTGACTATATTCTCTCAATTAAAATCAGGAGACAAATTACTTTGGTTTAATGGCGGGAAAGAATACTGAAAATCAGACAACACCACCCAAGACAAGGTGGCCACATAGGGCTGCTCTATCTGTACCCCAAAGCTTAGAATGTTCTGCTTGGTTCTCCTGTGTATTGTTCAGTTACAAAGTTGCAGAGAGAAAAAAAAAATCCCTTTCTCCACTTCCTTTTCTCTTCAGACTTTCATGATCAGTACTAGAGCGGGACCATAGAGGCAACGTCTACTGGGACAGAAGGGCTGCCTCATAGCTAACCAGCTGTCATTGGCCCTTAGAGGCTGAAAGAGATCCTGACGTTTCTAAAGAAAGTTGAAGAAAACCCTGGGATACACCTTACTGTACCTGGAGCAGACCACTGGGGATAGAAGACATGCTCCGCGCTGCTCTGGACATTTGGAGTGGTGAAGTATCCCTTCAGATGCTTGCTGTCCCTTACCCCCACCCCTTTTTTTCTTCTCCCTCCCCTCCTTCCTTTTTCTTGTTCTTTCTCTCTCTCTTCCTTTCTTTCTTAAAGAAATCTTTACTTTATAATTGGCTAAACTGGAGACACAAGACAAAATCGTTCAATTTGCAATTTGCTATCTTGTTGGCAGGACACTAGCTCAAAACCACAGAGCCCTGAGTTTGACCCTAGCACTCTGTGGCTACTGATGACTCATCCCGATAATTATCAGATTGAATCTTCTCTACTGGTTTGGTAATAACAATGAGTGGAAAAAGAACTTCAATCAGATGTTCATGCCTAATAATCGGTCTCCTGATTGCCTTTGTAGACTCATGGTTCTCTTCTTTTTCCTGGTATGTATAAGACAATATGCTCTTGATGCAACCCTCGGGTGTTTTTTTGTATGGTCAAAAAACATAGATAAGGCTGTTTTCGGGTCCTTGGAGAATGCTGCCCGAGTAGAGGTGGGAGCCACTAGACACAAGCACCAGTCAGAGGTGGCTGGAATGGGAGGTGCCCTCTGATGAAATCTTGATTTTATGGGGCCTTTCTTTATAAAAGGTTTGCTAAGTAGGAAAGTTAAGCTGCAACTTAACTGCCAAGATTCTGCCTTGGATTTTGGAGCTCTGGGTCCACGGATGTTCCTTTCCATCCCATCCATTTATAACTTTCATTTCTTTTTTCTCAAAGTAAAGAAAACGGACCTCCGTGACTCAATGGCATGCCAAGGCCATCTGAGCCTTCCCAGTGTTCCAAAGGAAGTTACTGATTTGAATTCAGATGCTTAAACAATTAGTCTCTAAGACGGCAGTTTGCAGCTTCCTTAAAGTACTGGTGTGGGTTTGGAGAGGAATTTAGCTTGTTGATTAATTTTTTTAATTTTTCAATTCCTGGTTATTCATCTGCTTGTGTGTGTGTGGTCTTTTGAGCTTGGTACTCTGCTGAATGAATCTCTATGTCAAAGTAAAATGGGAAGAAGACCAAATTTCTGTTCAGTGGAACTATGCATTTTCTGACATGGAATCACTTGCATATCCTTAGTAAAAATCATATATGGATGGCCCACAATAACACTCAATGATGTATATAAGTTATATGCACATAATATATAAAATATACACTTTTATTCTTATATATTTAAAAATATATTTATATATATACATATATGATAAATATAAAGGTATATACATGCACCAAAAAATTATATTATTCACAGCAACACTAGTCACAATAGTCAAAAATTAGAGACTACTCACATGTCCATCAACTGTAGAGTGAAAAAATAAACTGTGGTTTGCTTATATGATGGCACGTTGCATAGCCATGGGAAAGAATGAGCTCCTGCTACACACAACATAGATGAATTTCACAAACAAAATGCTGACCAAAAGAAGTCAGACACAAAAGGACACATACCTATGAATCCATTTATCTGAAGTCTGTAAACAGTCAAAATTAGTCTGTGGAGATGTATTCTGATAGAAATCTGAAAAGTGGGTTTCTTTGGGGTGGGGGATAGAGTTCCTAAAGTGAGCTCCTAGAGTTTGGTGGTGGTTACACAAGCATGGAGCTGTATCATAATGATTTGTAAACTTTTCTGTATGTATGGTCTATTTTAATGAAGGTTTATCTTGAAACATGCATAGTCATTATTATCAGTTTGAGTGTAGTGTTATTTCACTTTTCACCAGAATGAAAGAGATCAGTATTGTGCGAATGCTCTTAAGCTGCAAATGACAGGAGACCCAACTCAAAAGTGGTTTAAACCAGGGGGTGGCAAACTTTTCCTACAAAGGAAAAATAGTAAATACCGTAGGTTTTGGGGGTCGTGGGACTTCTTGTGAGTACTCAGCCTGTGTTGTAGCAGGAAAGTACTCAGCCTGTGTTGTAGCAGGAAAGCAGCCACAGAAAATATGTAAACAGAGGGGCAGGGCTGTGTTCTAATAAAACTCAAGAGAACTTGGGGATAGTCTTAGAATTCTGCCATCCACCAACCCTAACCTGTAACATCAAATCAGGTCATAGCACAGAAGAAAATGGCACATTCATTTTCTTTATTTGGCATTCTCCTTGCTTGGAGGATTTATGCTTAAAATCCAACTCCATAAAGACAATGATAACATGGAAGTCTTGGAAAACGTTTACCTATTTGCTATAGCAAGATGGTCAAAGTACCAGATAAAATACTGAAATATTTACATAAAAACAATCAAAGTGGTGAGGGTTTTTATTCATTTTAAATGTTATTTATTTATTTCTAGACTAAGTAATACACTAACAACATTCACATATCCGAAAATAAAGGAATGGGAAGAGAAAATCTCTTTCCCAGTTGTTTCTTTTCTGGAGACAACTGATGACTGCAGTTTCTGGTTTACCTTTTACTTTGCAATAGGTCATGGAAATCTTCACATCAGTATATAAAGAGTTGCCTCATCCTTTTTGACAGCTGCATAATGTTCCATTATAGAGCTGTAGCCCCAATTCACAGATTTCCTATTGGTAAGCATTTAGATTATTCCTAATCTTTTGCTATTACAGAAAATTATGTATTAAATAACTTAGTACCCACATTATTTCACACATGCTCAAGCACACAAACAGGATAAATCACTGAAAGTGGAATTGCTGCATTAAAATATAGGTCCATTTATGATTTTGATATATACTCTCAAATTGCCCATGATGGTATTGCACTGATTTAAACTTTCAGCAGGAAAATTGGAGTGCCCATTTACCATGCTTGTTTCAACAATGAATTTAATTTCATCTTACCCAATCTGACAGGTGAAAATGATATCTAATTATGAGTGAACTAGAACTTCATTCTGTTTATTTCTTTTTCTACAAACTATCTCTTTTTTATTGAAATACTGATCTTTTTCTTATTAATTTATAGGAATCCTTTATCTGTTATATGAATTGCAATTTTTTCTAAAGTTTGTTTTTTGCCTTTCAACTTTGCCAATGTTTTGTTGTTGTTCTGCCATACAGAAGTATTTGATTTTATGTATATATCCAATTTTTTATGGACTCTGGCTTCTATTCTATACTTCAAAGGACCGACCCTAGTCTGAGATTATAATTATTTATTTATTTATTTTTAAAGATTTTATTTATTTATTTGACAGAGATCACAAGTAGGCGGAGAGGCAGGCAGAGAGAGAGGAGGAAGCAGGCTCCCCACTGAGCTGAGAGCCCAATGCGGGGCTCAATCCCAGGACCATGGGATCACGACCTGAGCCAAAGGCAGAGGCTTTAACCCACTGAGCCACCCAGGCACCCCCTGAGATTATATTTAAAAATTACCTGACAATTTATTCTGGCATGCTCAGAATTTTCTTTCCCTTTCTTATTTCTAAAAATGTAATCCATCTGAATTTATGGCAAAAGGTGAAAGGTTTGAATCCAACTGTAATGTTTTCTCCCCAGAGAGCTGTTCAGTTGCTTGAACAGCATTTATTGAATGGGCATCTCTCTCCACTGATAAGAAATATCATTTTATCTTATACTAAGTTTCTTTTTGTATTTGAGTCAATTTCTGTTCCATTGTTCTATCTATTCATGAAGCATGCCTTTTTTAATGATTGTAGCTTTACATTTTAGTATCTAATGCAGTTAGGTTAACCATTGTTTTTCTTTTTCTTTTTTTTAAAGATTTTATTTATTTATATGACAGAGAGAGAACTCACACAAGCAGGGGGAGCAGCAGGCAGAGAGAGAGGGAGAAACAGGCTCCCCACTGAGCAGGGAGCCGGACAGGGGACTCTATCCCAGGATTCTGGGATCATGACCTGAGCAGAAGGCAGATGCTTAACTCACTGAGCCACCCAGACTCCCCAGTCCTTGTTTTTCTTTTTCAGGATTTTCCTGCATACTTTGGCATGTTTATTTTTCCATATTAATGTTATAATCAGTACATATAATTTAATAAAAACTTATTTTCAAGTGATATGTATTTTTTTACATTTAGAGATAATTTGGGGAGCATTGACCTCTTTATAAAGTCTCTTTTATCTAAAAACATAAATACCCTTCTATTTGTTCAAGTCTTCTTTTTGACCCTCAGTAGCTTTAAAAATCTTCTTCATGTAGTTCTTCATTTCTCAAGTTTATTCCCAGGAATTAAATCTTTTTTGTTGCTAATACAAATGAGGCCCTTTCTTCCATTTTATTTTCCAACGCATTGTTGTTTCAAGGACATTTAAAAACCAAGGGAGAAAAAAAAATTATTTTTAGCTAAATAAATGGAATTTTCTAAACCATAATAAGTAACCATAGCAGTTGTAATTTAATTCTGTTCAGAATAGTTGCAAAAGGAAAAAAAAAATCCCAAATTCATACAAGTAGAAGGATATTAGGAATAAATTAAAATATCTTTTTAAAGTTGTTTTTTTGCTTCACATTTTAATCTTAAAATAGAATCCATATAATTTTCTCGTTCTCACACATCACTCACTGTTCATCTTTTGCCTGGTAGGGTACACATGTTGTTTTTGCCCAGGGCTTCTCAGGGTGCTCTGCTAATTGCTTACCTCTCCCCAGGGAAAGTCTGGCAGCTCAGCTATTCTCTTCTTTCTCACCTAGATCTTATGGGACAAATGCTGCTGGGAACTAGAGCTTACAGCTCACGTGGAGGAGATGGCTGATGCCTCCCGGGCTCCCTCCCCTCCTGGCACCCACCTGCCAGTTCCCTTCGACAATAGCCTGGGAAAGCAGTATGTATCCAGGAAATCCCAGCTCTACCGAGAAGAGAAGTGAGAACATTTCCGAGGTCAGCAGGAAAGAAGAAAGAGGGAATTTCTTACAGATCACTTCCAGATTTGCAACCATGGTAGAATACAGGATGGAGGACTAAGTTGTCTGGGAGGGGAGGGGAGGCTGGAGCTGGGAAGACACTGGGCTGTGTAGCCTTGGGGGAGAGTTTTCCTTTAGTGAGTGGCCACATTAGAGTCTTGGTTCTCATCCTTAGAACTGAGTTCGTTGACTGTCTGACTTTGGAATAACCATTAACTGGGCTAGGAGAAGAAAGAGTGGGTGACTTCCTGCCTCTCCTTTGATGCGGGGAAGGGACTGGAGGCCATAGTCTTCTCTTCCTGACAACCAAACAGCCTTTTTACAGGCAAAATCTTTACTGATCACATTGCTTAGGGTTAACTGGTGGCCTCTATTATTTATTGGAAGGCAGTCAAAAGGCCTTTTGCATAATAACACTAATAAGGAGTAGAAAGGCTACTGTATTTGGAGTACCATGCGCTGCCTCTGCCCTTTACATGAGTTCCCTTATTTTAATCCTCATGATGACCCTATAAGTCAAATATTACTGTATTTATTACTCTAATTCGCAGATGAGAAAAGTTAGGTTGAGGGAAATCACATAACATTGCAAGACACTTAATGGACTGAGCCACCCAGGTGCCCTAATGAGTACGCTTTTTATCATCACACTTAGGTCTTGTGAAAATGAATGGTAAATCTAAATATTTTGAAATAAGGATGAGCAAAGAGAGTAAAGTATTTCTTTTCTTTTTTAAAGATTTTATTTATTTTTTTTTGACAGAGCACAAGCAGGGGGAGCAGCAGGCAGAGGGAGAAGCAGACTCCCTGCTGAGCAGGGAGCCTGATGTGGGGCTCCATCCCAGGACCCCAGGGTCATGAACTGAGCTGAAGGCAAACATTTAACCAGCTGAGCCACCCAGGTGCCCCAGGTTTTTCTATATATTAAATATTTCTTCCTGTAATTTTACATGTTAATATATTCCTCCTAAAAATGTGAGCTTTACTTAATCCTGACTGCGCCCATGTCTTTGAGGGATGTTGTAAAACCCATTCACAAGCATATAATATTATTTGCTTTAAGAAACAGATATATTCACGCAGACATTGAAGTATAAGTGACAGCTCAGCCAGCATGTTTATTATACAGTATTCCAAAGTCTATTCTACTTGTGACTATAATTCTGTACTCATGGTTTGTAACATTCTTCCAGAGATGTCAGATGTGTGTATATGCCTGTGTGTGTGAGAGTGTGTGTGTGTTTATGAATAATATGATTTCCTTGTGGGTGTGAATTTCATCCTCTCTGTGATTCCTGTGCCCTAACCATATTGCTAGGCAACACAAAGCAACACACATCCCACATTCTCCTAATTCCGTTTAATGTTTCACCAGTGGACCTTTGCTTTTATATGCAAGCAGAATCACACTGGCGGGTTTAGGATTTTGGATTTTTAAATAATCAAGTGTCCACTCTGGTCAAACCAAATGACCATAGCCACGAGAAACTGGCAGATAAGAGGAAGAGCTGGCATAAGGCAAATACACATATTTGTTTTGTAAGACTTTGGTGATAGTTCATTAGTAAAATTGGATGTGGTTCTTAAAGGTGACAGCAAGGAGAGAGAGGCTTCCTTCCAAAGGACTCCTAGGACTGGAAGGGGAATTGTATATGGAATACTCTTTCTGATATTAGTGATGTTGGACACACATAAATTTGCCAGAGGAAAATCAGGTGCACATCTTCTCTGTCAAGACAGAGACCAATAGTTTCATGTCAGGCTCTAGTTTAGTAGAGTACAATGAATGTATTCATGATAATTCCTCATCATAAGTTAAAGTCATTTATAGTCCTCCTGCTCTCTGTTCCCAGGGAAAGGTCAGAGGGAGGCTTCGGTAGGCATGAAGCGTACTGGAATTTGGCCTACAGTGGACAAAAACACAGATCTTCGTCGCTACAAAAAATATCCCTTGATGTTGCCCCATCCATTCAAGCCAAACCTCAGAGAGCCCCAGGAAGAAGAACTCATAGATGTTTACAGTGCTGGTCAGCATTGTTTAAAAGGTAGGATGGCACAGGTCAGAAAGTCCTATGATGGCGCTCTGAACTAATACTCAACCTGTAAAAGCAAATGTCATATTATAATTCCTTAGTTGCAGGCTTAGGAAAAAGAACAACCAAAATTTTTGCCAGTTGGGAGATGAAAATGACATGGAAAGGAGGCCACTGGTAAGAACAACACATATGGAAAAGTATGGTTATATTCGTTACCGAAGGCTGTGTAGCAGTTTTTCCCCAAACTTTATAGTTTATTTTTTTAGTTTTTTAAAAAGATTTTATTTATTTATCTGACAGAGAGAGAGCCAGAGGGCACAAGCTGGGGAGGGAGGGACAGCAGAAGGAGAGGGAGAAGGAGACTCCCCACTGAGCAGGGAGCCTGATGACTTGGTGCTCAATGACCCTGAGATCGTGACCTGAGCCAGGCAGATGGATAACCGACTGAGCCACCCAGGCGCCCCCAAACTTAGTAGTTTAAAACAGTAAAAACATTTATTATTTCACACAGTTTCAGGGCATCTGGAGCCAAAGAGTGCCTCAGCCTATTGGTTCTATCTCTTATGAATCCACAGTTCATGATCTCTTATGAATCCACAGTTAAGATGACAGCCAATGCTGCAGTCATTTGAAGGTTTGGGGCTGGAAAATCCACTTTCAAGATGGTTTATTCACATAACTGGCAAGTCAGTGCTGGCTGTTGGCCAAAGGATTTACTTGCTCACCATATGGCTTCCTACATGTCCTCACAACACAGTATCTAGCTTCTCCAGAGTGGACAATCCAAGAGAGAGCCAGACAGAAGCCACAGCATCTTTTACAGCTCAGCGCTGGACATCATGGCCATACCTTTCTGCAGTGTCTGCTGGTTACACAGGTCATCCCCATTCTGTGCCACAGCAGAGCACATACAGGTGGAAACATTGGGAAGTGGGAATTTGGGGGGCTATCTTGGAGGGTGGCCACTGCAATGATAGAGACATTTCTGTGCATACATGATGGAGAAGAGATTCATGTGTTGGCTGAGTGATTGATTTTTTTAAAAAGATTTTATTTATTGTCAGAGAGAGAGAGAGAGAGCATAAGCAGGCAGAGTGGCAGGCAAAGGCAGAGAGAGAAGCACGCTCCCCGCTGAGCAAGGAGCCCTATTTCAGGACTCAGTCCCAGGACCCTGGGATCGTGACCTGAGCTGAACGCAGTGGCTTAACTGACTGAGCCACCCAGTTGTCCCTGGCTGAGTGATTGATTGCACTGGACCAGTGGTCTCAATGCTAGCTGCAAACAGTTGCCTGTGTCAGAATGACCTGAAGGCACTTCAAATAATATTGGTTTCCATGGCCTCTTCCCCAAATAGTCTGATTAAATCAGGGATGATGCCCAGATTTGAGAATTACTGGATTAGGTGATGTGCAAGGTCAAGCCCAACCTTAACCTTGTTCCCCAAACTTTCCAGATGATAGGTGTTACCCAGGGAGTTTGTTTAAAATACAGATTTCCAGGCCCTACCTCCAGCTTCATGAATCAGAACCCCAAGTGAAGGCCCTAAAAATCTGTATTTCTGCTTAATTTTTGAGAAAGTTTGGACCAAGTCATTCAACATGACTGGAAATTCTAAAAGGTATCAAAGAATGTTGTTAGAAAGTGTCTTTCTCAACTTTGTCCTCCCCAAATCCCAGTTCACCTTCCTAGAGAGGGTGATCAGTATTAACTTTGTATGTGTGTATTCTTCCAACAATAAATGCACACATATAAATGTGCAGATATATATACATTTTTTATTTTAAAGATTATAATTTATTTGTTTATTTGACAGAGAGAGAGAGAAAGAGAGTGCTCGAGCACAAGCAGGGGAAAACAGCGGGCAGAGGGAGAAGCAGGCTCCCCGCTGAGCAGAGAGCCCGATGGATGCCGGACTCCATCCCAGGACCCTGGGATCATGACCTGAGCTGAAGGCAGATGCTCCACCGACTGAGACACCCAGGCACCCCTAAATGTGTATATTTTTGAAATTTCTTCTTCTCTTTTTAAAAACAAATTAAAAATCAAAAGCATATGTGGTCAAAAGCAAGTTTGTTCCTGATCCTAATCACTAGCGCTCCTCTTCAGACTCGAACCCTTTTTCCAGTTTCTTGTGGTTCCAGAGCCAGGACTATGTCATTTTAATAGGCGACTAAGGCATTCTTACAGCCCGGTGTGTTTAGGACACTGTAAGTCTATTTTAATATTTTTATAATATATAATAATATAAACTATTATAATAAGTTGACATAGCTAGAAAACTTCATTTGGCTTCTTCTCAGTTGTATAACACTCATTTAGTTGAACTCTACCTTGGATATTACATTTAGATTCTTTCATTTAGCCATTACTTACAAGGGCCTGTGATGTGCCTGGCCTGGCCTGGTCAGTGGTGAACAGTGAACCCAGCACACAGAAACCCACAATAGAGGAAACAGCTACTCTCAGTGCAAGTGCTATGAGAAAGGGGGGGAAGGGCACCCCAGCAGCACATTGGCACTGGAGGTGGGTGAGGCTCCTGGAAGGAAGAGGTTTCCACAATGGGGCAAAAGGGATGATGAGGCAGTGCTAACTGGGCAAATGGAGAAGCAAAGTATTCCTGGCAAAGAGAAAGCAAAAACGCAAAGGTCCAAGTTTTGATCTGGCACATGGCTCTCAGGCAACCTCAAAGTAAAGCATCTTGGTGTTGTGTGCAGGAGAGGCTGGAAATGAAACAAGGGAGGTAAACTGAGGTCAAAATAAGAGGGGAGGACCTATAATGGCCCTGAAGTTCAGGAATTAAATTTGGGAATGATATAATCAGTGTAAAAAGTCAATGTTGGGGGCACCTGGCTGGCTCAGTCATTGAGCACTGTGACTCTTGATCTCAGGGTCGTGAGTTCAAGCCCCACACTGGGCAAAGAGTTTATTTAAAAAAAAAAAAAAAAAAGATATTAAAACATTGATTTTGATGAAAAAAAAAAAAAAAAAAGGATTGGAAAGGATAAGAGTGGAGTTAGGGAGATAGTTTAGGAGGTTGTTGTCAGAAGACATAGGCGCAGCCTGAATTAGAGAGCCCTTGTAGGGATGGAAAAAACGAGAAACCTTTTGAAGTTATTTGAGAGGTAGATTCATCAGGACTTGGTGATTGATTGACAGGGGATGGAAGTGGGTCACTCCCAAATCTGTAGCACAGGCAATTAGGTGTTCTGCACTTCAGTAAGGAACACAGATGGGAAAGCTCTTTGGGAGAAGGCATTTGGGAGAGTGAAGGATGAGTTTGACATTTTGAGTTTGAGGAAGAGAGAGCGAGGAACTAAATGAAAATCTAGCGTCAGACAGAAATAAGAGACGGTTGGTGGGGGTCCGTGGCAGGACAGCCATCTCCTAATTTGTCTTGAAGCCTTGCCCCTCCACCTCTACCGTTGCTTTGTCCTGCCCCCAACCCTCTCCCATCCCTTCTAGAGCAGGCTAGTTCCACCTTTCTTCACGCCTCGGGGTGGAAGGGGCTAACGGATGGTTCTGCGTCAAAGCCGCTGTGTGCACAGAATTCGGTAGCCGGCCAACAGTATGCTAGGTTCGGTAAAAAAGATAATACCCTTCCGTTGATTATACATGGTTACCTGACGGTTCCATGTTTCCCAGCATAGTGCCCAAAGTGGACTCTACATCTGTTTTCAGTTCTTAGTTCATTCTGGGTACCGAGGCTCTGTATCGCATGGGCAACGGGTGGCAGTGCGGGTGGCAGTGTGGATATACTTGAGACAAGGTAAGCCTGCAGCCATAGTTTTCTTTGCCTTCTGGAGCTCTTAATTCTTTTTGCTGGAATTAATAGAGCTTCAGCTAATTAGATGTTTGAAAATGCTCACCTTTGTTTGGTGCTCTGGACAACCAGCCAGAGGCATTTTAGATTGTGAGGGTGACTGAGAAAATAAGATCTTTGCTATTGTGCAGAGAAATCTGAAGAATTTTCTCCATTCTTCAGTTCTTGCTAAATGGCTCATTGTATGCTATCTGTATGGTATGGGTCTAGGACAGATTTCTCTCTGAACTTCACAGCATGGGTGGAAGAGAGTAATTTGGCCTTTCCTTTTTCCTGGCAGTCCGTGCCAGTCCATTTATATGGTATGTTCACAGGAGAGCTGACAAGTGTTGAGAGGTTTTATTTGATATGCATTTTTTTTTTAAGTAGGAAAAAAAATCCATAAAAATAGGTACTTTTAAGCCAGTTTTCCTAGTTAGTCTTAAGGTCATAACCCATTCTGTTTCACTAAAAAGTTCCACCTCAAACCGACTAACTACCTATGCTAAGTTCTCTGGGCTGTGTTTAATATATATGATGAAACCATGTACTACAGGGACAGTTTTTAATGATACAAATGCAAAAACCACATTATTTTTCTGTATAACTTGTAAAAGCCATTCCTTCTAAAATGGGGCTGCTTATGCTAATTTGTTATAGTTAGTGAGTTGCAGGCAGCTCTGTGAATTTACTTTTCTTGGCAGTTCTAGAATATCCTGCCATAACACATACTGAAAAACTGTTTGATGGATTATGAAAATCTGGATGTACTAAAGGTACATCTTGTGCAAACCATAAGATAAATACATGATTACATCTTTAAAAATCTGTTATCTCATCAGGTTAAGGAAATTATCATTATAATAACACAAAGAAAATTAAACTCTTTTGAATAGAAGACCTATTTGTACGTTCTGTAAATATTTTTAATATCCGGTGCTGGCTCAATTTTGCTGGTCTTTCTGAAAATGCCTGCTGGAGATAAACTGTATTCCATCTAGAACCCATTTTACAGATGGGTAGGACTTCATTGCTCTAGTTGATATTCTTAGTAAAGTGTACATTGTTGGGATTACTGGTGCAAAATATATTTTGAAATGTTATCATTACATTGAATGAGGTGAGCCCTTTTCTATTACTCAAGGATGTTGAATTACTGGGCCTGTCTATATTATATTTGCACTGATATATGATTAGTTCATTAATAATAAATGAAAAAATATATAATTTTGTTTGATTGTGTGTTAGCTACACATAACCAGCGCCTTTGAAATAGTCTCTAACCTCTAGCACCTTGCATTTCTAACAGATGAAAAGGCATTGGGGGAAAAAAAAGCAATTCATTTGTTCATTTATTAAAAAAATTATACACACACACACACACACACACACACACACACACATACTGAGAAGCTATTATGTAAAAGGCACTCTGTTACACTTTCTTGGGGCCTAGGGAATACACTTTGATGAACAGGAGAGATTTGGTTTATATCTTTGTCTTCTATCAGGGAGACAAACAGGAAATGACAAATTTTAAAATTAATTATTTTGTAATTATGGGAAGTGTTTCAAAAGATACCAATAGGGTGGGATGAGGGCAGAGAACTGGAACTGGATGGAGAAGCAAGCTTGTTTTAAGGGAGTTTTTAAAGTTTAAGATGCATTTGGAATGAACTGGAATAAAATCTTAACCATGTCAATTAAAAAAAAAAGAGAGAGAGAGAGAAGAGTTCTTGTATTTAAAGGTAAAGAAGCCAACAGATCTGTAAGAGAAATATGGTGTAGTGTGGTAAGAATCTTATACAGACAGGAAAACATCCTTGCATGTGCTAAAAACATCTTACCACTTGAAGGAATGATTTTTAACCTTAGGCTAAAAGTAAGATACTATATTCCACTTTAGAAGAAGAAAAATGGCTAAGAAATGCAGATGGCCAATTAACTTTTTCAGTTAAACTTCATGCACGTGATAAAATATGTAAAACTTAACATAAAAAACTTCAACATGTTTATATGCTTATAAATGCTTCAAATTGATTAAAATTCTTCAGTTACAAGGTTAGGCTCCTGGATTGTCGAATGTTCTCATATATTTCAAAACAAAATGGAATTTTATCGGAAGCTGAAGCATAAGGACAGAGTTATACAAAGAAAGACTAAATTGACTAAGAAAAATCAGGTATGAGATGAAAATAATTTTTGTCATTTACTCTTCCCATAATGAATTTCAACCCAACGTAATTTATTTTAAGTTTC